TCTCTCTCTCTCCCTCTCTCTCTCTGTCTCCCACCCCTCTCTCTGTCTTTCTCTCCCTCTCCCTCTCTCTCTCTCTCTCCCTCTCTCTCTCTGTTGGTCTGTCTGTTTGCCTCTCGCTACGATATCGTTTGGGAAAGACGTGCATGTCAAGGATAGTTGAAGTAACCAAGTACTTAACATACCGTCGGCAAGCCTTTCATATGTTCTAAGCCTAGTAGCAACATTTTTCAAGCTAGTGAATAAAAAAGGTATAATTTCACATTTTGTCTCCAAGTTGTACCTAAATTGTGTACCGTTTCTTGTGGATTTTCGTTTTGTTTGTTGGCTTTTTGTGGGTGTCTTATGCTTGTTTTTTTGTTGTTTTTGTTGTTTTTGTTTTGGTTTTTTGGGGGTTTTTAGGAGGGGGAGGGGGTGTTGGGTTTTGTTTTCTTTGGGTAGTGGTTCTTCTTTTTTCAACATTCAGAAGTTGAGTTTTGACCAAAGATTTTTAGCACATGCTACAGACACGACAGATTTAAAAACTGCCATAGGAAGAAAACTATTGCGCTTAGGACATTTGATTAGCTGGCCGACTGGTCTATCAAGGTGTGTGATGGTGCCATTTAAATGATATACGATACATGTATCTGCTACTTAACTCAATTCTGGTCTTTCAACACCGCCTAAAGTCACCCTGTTTGGGTGCACTTAAAAACGTGAGATTGTTGAGGACAGGGGTGGAAGAGGTGGGAATACACGTTGTACCTGACGTATTCAATTCTCAATTTTTTTAATGAGTAGAGATTATTCAAGAATTTTGGTTGGTGCTTTGTTTAGAGAGAATCTTGCTGTGTTAGTCAGGTTTACAACTGAACAGTGAAAAAGTTAACTCGCGGGCTTCAATATGAAACTATTTTTTTCCTCTTTCAGGAGCGCTCCGCTTCAAAGAACCAGAGTCTCCTGACTCGTGGACTGGTGTCAGAGACGCCCTGGCGTTTGGGGACGAGTGTCTGCAGCGAGTGGCCCTCAATGATGCTTTCCGTGATCCGAACGCTCGTCACAGCGAGGACTGTCTCTACCTTAACGTGTACACGCCCGCACGTACAGACTGCGACACACTGTTGCCCGTCATGGTGTTTATCCACGGAGGAGGGTACAATTCTGGGTCAGGCTCATCCTATGATGCTTCCTACGTTGCAGCTAAAGGAGTTGTCTTTGTGACCATTAACTACAGGCTCGATCTTTTCGGATTCCTGTCCACAGAAGATGACATTATGCCTGGAAACTATGGGATGTTGGATCAGGTCGCCGCTCTGAAGTGGGTGAAAAATAACATTGCTTCTTTTGGAGGCGACCCAAATATGGTGACTATTGTTGGACAAAGTGCTGGGTCAGCTAGCGTCTCTCTCCTCACTATGTCACCGCTAGCCAAAGGTCTGTTCCACAGGGCGATCATGGAAAGCGGTTCCTCTCTCTCGCCCTTCGCTATCGAATATCCAGGAAATCGAATGACCCCTCGCATTGCGGCCCGATTGATCAGCAATGCCGTTAACTGCAATGACTTAAATAATTCAACTGCACTTTTGTCCTGCTTGCAAAAAGTAGATGCAAATACGTTGCTCAAGAAATCTCTTGGAATCACTGGAGCCGTACAAGCAACCCTCATCAATGTTCCTAGAGTAGAAACAACGTTTGGTTTTCTGCCAGACAAGCCAACTGCCTTGATGTTTCGGGGGCAATTCAGCCACGTAGATACTCTGAGGGGGTATAATAGTGATGAATTTGGAGGATTCATTCCGGCTCTCGCCGGCCCACAACCAATCACAATGGAAGTGGCGAAACAGGTTTTGAGAGGTCAGACGGTACAGTTTACCAATCTCGACCGGGTAAAGGTTCTTGAGGCGATGGAGGCAACATTTCTCAAAGATAAGAAAACCCCTGACGCAATACAGAGAGGTACTCTTGACGGTGTAGATTACTTTATATTTGGGGCTCCAATGATAACGGAACTGGACGATGTTGTTATCCACGCTCCAGAAAAGAAACATTACTTGTACCAGTTCAACTACAGACCAAGCTTCAGCAAATCCCCACCATGGATGTCAGCCCTACATGGACAAGAGATGTTTTACCTGTTTGACGTTCAGCAGAAAATGTTCACCGACACGGGAAATGGTCCACCTAATGCTGACGACATTCTGGTATCTCAACAGATAATGGAAAGATGGACCAACTTTGCCAAGACAGGGAACCCGACGTCAACTGCTCAAAAAGGCGGAGCGACGTGGAACCAGTACAGCTCAACAAACTCGAACTGCCTTTTCATCAATTCTGCTTCCAGTGAGAGACTCTTGACCCCAACTAAAGTCGTCGATTTTTACCGTAAAGTTCTCGACACTCTTCAAGAACCCAACCCTGCCCCTGCCTCGGCCCATGCCGGAAAACTGTCTTCCATTCCGGCGTGGGGAGTCATTTTATCGAGTATCTTTGTCATTCTGTTGAGACGTTGATCTCTATCATTCTGTTAGGACGTTGATCTCTGTAATTCTGTTAGGACGTTGATCTCTGTCATTCTGTTAGGACGTTGATCTCTGTCATTCTGCTAGGGCGTTGATCCCTCTCAGCTCGGGTCGGCCCTGACAAGCAGGCTTGAAGCCCACCTCCTAAATGATCTTTTTTTCTTCTTTAGTAAGAGTTTTACGGCACTTGCAACTCAATAAGGTCATACAAGTGCCGAAGATTAGAGGTGTTACAAGAGAGTAACAAACACAACAATGAAAGAAGGGAGATAAAGACGATAGTTGTTAGATAGGAAAGAAGAGGTCAAATGCACCAGAACGCACGCCAACCACCCACTTGATTGATCTAATTTGCGTTAATTGGGGGGTGGGGTAAAAACATAAATATTATCTTTCTTAATCAGACTATAGCTACACGTTACAAAATTAAATGATATCTTCCTTTCTTTTCAACGCCTTTGCAGAACTTTGTCACCACACCCCCTGACCTCCGATTAACACGTAAGCTGTACATATCATGGCATAATTATGTAAAAAGAAAATATGAAATTGAAAACCTAAGTGTTCTAAACCAGAAAATGTTACATAAAACTATGAAATGAGTCAGCAAATTTTAAGATGTCAGTTTTTGTCATTGATACAAGTGTATCATGACACGGTGGAATCAAGCGCTCTCATCTTGTATATTATTTTTTTTACACATTTTTGTAATTCTGCAAAAAAGATTTGTATCATACGTGCGTGATTGTGGATCAGTTTGTGAGTGTGAGCATAAACTAGTATGTGTGTATGAGTGTAATATGTGTGTGAAAGAGAAGGTTTGTGATAGAGCATTTACATATATGTGGATCTTTGCGCCAAGGCATGCACGCAAGTGAGCGTGCCTGCGTGCGCGTGTGTGTATGAGTGTGTGTATGTACGTGTGTGTGTTTCTGTGTTTCTGTGTGTGTATGTGTGTGTGGAATGTGTTTTTGTTAATTGTGAAACGCCACACTAATGTGCCAACCTTTGAACAATACATGTTAAAATATGTATTTTTCTTTTTTAATCGTATCTCGTTTTACCTTATCTTGTCGTACTTATCTTTTCTTAGCGCTCTGTTTGCTCAACGACCATCATAAAACACTGAAACAATCTCAGCGTCTTGGGAAGCGTACAGTGCAAGCAGCTGATTAAGCGCTTAAACACTAACAAACCCACAACATTGTTCACAGTCTATAAAAGCTGAATACCCATTTCCACCTGGGTGAAGTGAGGAAAATTCGTGTAAAGTGCTTTTCCCAAGGACACAACGTCGGGCCCCACGACCTTACGGTTGCGAGTTTGAGAGTTTATCCACTAAGCCATCGACTTTTTTGTTTGTTTGTTTTTTTGTTTTAGTAAAGGTTTTACGGCGCTCGCAACTGTATAAGGTCATATGAGCGCCAAGGGGTGGATGTCAACAGAGAAGTCCTTACAGGGATTCAGACTTACTCTGCTCACTTCTCTAGCTTCAACAGCACAAAGTCTGCTTCGACTATTAAAGCACCCCGGAAATAGCGGGTCACAAGAGTGTGACAAACATGCAAAAGAAGTATAGAAAAATGACGATAGTAAGGATTAGAAGCGAAAAAGAAGAAGTTCCCTGTTGTAGTTCAGGCACAATTATGAGCATGTCATTGTTGGATCAGCGCCTTTACAATTCTACAGTGCACTAGAAAGAGAAATGCCCCATGGCTTTCAGTCAGTGGCATCGCCCCGAGGGGGGGGGGGGCGTAGAGCCACCGACGTAACATAACAGTTCGTTCTGATGACGGTATGAATAGATTTCTATACCTGTTGGTTCTTGTTTTAATGTTTTGCAACAAAACGCTTACTTCTAACAGATGTCAGGTATTCCGAATGTAATAGATAGTTGGCTCTGAGGGCGTATAAAATCAATTATTGAGGTTGGAAAGCCAGGGGAAGACTAAGGCGACGCTGGAGTGAATCTGTAGCAGACACCCTCAAAACTCACGGGATGTCCCTCCTACAGGCCACTCGCCTTGCTTCAGACAGACACCTGTGTCTCCCCGCGACACCCACCGGTTCAAGCGGAAGAAAAAAGTAAAGTAAAGTAAAGTAAGTAATGGATATTTGGTGTCAGCAATGATCTTCTTTGCTGTTTTCACCCTAATGACGTTTAAAGTCCAGTGATAAAGAAAACTCTATCCAAACGTAATTTGTGTCGTTTAGAGATTTTACCGCCATAACAGCAAAGTCCAAGAGCTTTTAAGCGTTTCCTTATTGAATGTTTGCAATATATTTCTGTCAGTTTCAAATTACTTGAATTTTCTTTACAAAAATGTTACCTCTCATTAGCCTTTTTCATGTTACTGGCAACATGTTAGTTTCGCAAAATTCTCGTCCTTTATTTCTAAAATTAAAACATTTTGTTCATAACGGCGAAAAAGAAAAAACATTGTCTCTTTGGTTTTCTCATGTAGTTTATGGGTGCCCCCCCCCCTCCCGAAAAAGTAACTTCTTTCTGAATATTTCGCACAAAATTGGTACTAGTATGTTGAAATTTGGAAAAGATATGATTCGTTCAAAAGGAAGTTGTTTGACATACAGTTCATAAAGAAAAGATTTGTTTTCGAAAACGGAAATGGTTTTATAAAAACCACCCATAAACGCAAAATGCACCGATTTAAAAGCTCGTGTAATGAGAGTCATGAAAAGATTAGTTGTTTTTCTCCCTTTCTTTTCTTTTTAGAATCTAATCTTTCCATCCCAGTATAAACAAAATGTATTTTCTTTTACAGACTTTTACAAAAATGTTTGTAAAATTCTGGAATTCCAAGAACCAGTGATCTATAATAATATGTCCTTCTTTGAACTCTACACTTTTTAACGCATCCTTCGTAACGTTCAGTGGTTGCCAAACACAAGGATTCACCCAACCGTGAGTAATCAAAGCCACACACACTGTACACCTTATAGTATGGAGTTATATCTAGAGACAGTAGGGGATACGGTGAGGTTGCACAAATAGGCAGCATTTGGGGCATTAACATATCCTGAAAGGTGAGTATTGGCTTCGCCGATGAACCAGATGTCATAGAAATGTTCACGTTTTTCAATACGAGGGAGGAATCATGAACACATTGCTATCCTCTGATCCATGTCAGCTTCGCGAACAGGAAAAAGGTACAATCGTAGATGAGGATCTACCTTGAGAATGCAGACCGTTGAGATATAGAAAAGTCCTAGCTGCAGACATTTTCTACGGATGACATCGTATTGGGCTCATCTACTGAATGCTGCACCCTGGTAACGTTTAAAGGGTTGTGAAGGGTGTGTTTTTAACCTGAAGTGGTCATTTTGTCAGAGAATTTTTAGATCTGATTCTCTACAGATATTAACAGATGGACCATTTTCACCCTTGACATCAAAGGGGGCCTTAAGGACACTTGAACATTATTTCCGCACCTTGTGAGAAACTTACGAAATGAGTTGGTGGGGAGAAAATGTTCAATACAAAAAGCTCTCTGCTCTTTACTTATCTTAACCATGATCTCAACCGTCAAAGGAAACTTGAGAAAAACTATCTGCAAACTTCCATTAGCCTGTTAGACTACTGTAGCGTGCAATATGACCCAATCGTTAGAACTTTTAGTGATAGGCCTAATGCGAACTACTCGCAGTGCGGTATGCTTCAGAAATGGGGGCATAGCTGAAAATGGGGGTTTTTTACGCTCTATATAGAGAAAAAATATTCTGTGAATTTATCTGAAATGAATATCACACAAATTCCTTTTGACTCCAAAATGCTGCGAACAAATTTGAAACCCAAAACTTCGGTGTGGAGGAAAATACTTACCCCAAAAAGTTGTTTAGTTGTTGTTGTTTTGTTTTTTAGTTTGTATTGTTTGTTTGGTTGGGTTGTTTGTTTGTTTTCGGGGGGGTCACCCTGTACTGTCAGATAATTGTCCTCACACCATTTATTTGGCAGACGAATTTCACTTCCTCATAGTACCCTATTTTCGTCGTAACGTATGATCCTTTAGATGGATGAAATCAATAAATTTGATGACGGTTCTAACAATCTGTGTATTTGAGCAGTCGTTTCTGTTGATGTATTGTTATAAAACTAGGGACAGGACAGAGCCCTGGGCGCGCTTGGTTTGTTCTGTTTTGTTTAGTTGTTGTTGTTGTTGTTTTGTTGTTGTTGTAGTTGTTGTTGTTGTTGTTGTTGTTGTTGTTGTTTTTGTTGTTGCTGTTGTTTTTTGTTATAATTTTGTTTGAGTTTGTTATGTTTTACACCGACTGTGATTTGGCAGTTTAGAAAGAGGAACATAGTGAAGAAGACGGCAGCTAATGTAAAAAGGAAATCAAGACTAACTTTTGAATAGAAGAGAAAGACCGAAGCGGGAGCATTGTATAGATAGAAGCTAGAGAGTCATGCCTTAATGCATTAGACGGCAGAATATAAATCCTTCCTCCTACCCTCTGCAAAATCGAACAAACTGCCCGAATTAACCTCTTGGCTCACTATCGCTGGATTTTGTGTATAAATGTACACAACACGAACATTATCATCTGCTGTGACGAAACTGTAGCCTTAGGATACAACCCGAAAGCACGATTACTTGAAACAATTCCCCATTTACAACAATGCTGGCCAGCCCGGACGATTTGATCATTTGTGGGGTATCGTGGTGAAATGAGACTTTCGTCAAAATAATGAATTCTGATATGTTGGCATTTTTCTGCCGGTTTGGCATTTTTATCAGATTTTTGTTTTTTAGCTCAACACCTTTCTTGTCCATTAAAATACATCTCAGGGTGGAGTTTATTGAAAAAGGTTGATGATAAAAGGCACACAAAAAACTAAATTTTCATTTTTCAAGCACTCTCTACCAATGTAATACACCAAACTTTGGCAGCCATTTTCCCCCTAAGTTTACCCCTGAAACGAGACCCCCCCCCCCCCCAATCTCCTTCCACCTCAAATATCTCGACTGTTGATCAAATCAGTGTGCATATTTTTCATCCAAAGCAAGACAAACGAGCAAGATGATACCAACAACTCAAAAAGCGTAAAATTATCCAACGCCTGATTCCACCGCGTCATGACACATTTTGGCCGGGGGGGGGGGGTGTCATTTCATACCTCGCTTG